ATTCCAAATCCTTAATAGTAAGTTTTTTACTTAGCATGCGCTTGTAGAATGGTAAAGAGAAACCAGTATCAATAAACTTGCCATGAAATAGTGCCTGCCAGGAAAAACAAAAAAATTTATTTAATATTTACAAAATAATAATTTCTTTTTTTGTGTGATTTGGAATTTTATTTATTTTTTTAATATATAATTTCTTATTTAGGGTATAATGATAACAGAGAAATCCTCAGCTTTTATAGACAATAAATTAGAGTTCGAACAAAATCTACTTTACAGACCAAACATTAGCTCTATAATGCACTATCAAAGAGTACAGCACGTTTTATAAATTAACCTACTTGGATGCAGAAATGAAGGGCCCCAGGCACCTGGAAAGACCTCTCTCCCATTTCTTTATTTTCATAGCTGCCTACAAGATTTTCAGGATGACTGTGCCACTTCTCCCACACAAAAGCCAACAAAGGAGCCCAGGCTCCCGGCACTCCTATCACCTCTCGGCCCACTCACAGAGTGATTCTCCCCTTCACTCAGTTTAGATCCCATCATCAATCATCAAAGTTACTCTGCTTGGTATCTTCAAGCTCTGCCTCCCCCACTGTCAAAATCCCAAGCCTAGCTAGACTCAACTCTCAATTCATGCAGTGCCTGCACCTAGGCAGTAGAACAAGCGAAAAATGCATATACCAGCTAAGTGTTTCTTTTTCTTTTTTTTTTTTTTTTTTTGGTGCTGGGAATCAAACTCAGGACCTTGTGCTTGCCAGGCAGGCGCTGTGCCGCTGAGCTATCTCCCCAGCCCATCAGCTACGTGTTTCACGACCAATACCCTAACGTGCTAATCAGTGTTGCCTCGTAATCTCTCCTATTCTCCACCCTTCTTTCCTCAAATACCTCCTTTTCCCTACTCCTCACACTAAGCTGATGATCTTACTTCCCGTTTCACAGAGGAAATAGCAATCCTATGAGAACTTTTGCGTGTTCCACCAAATCTGATCACTACTAGCACTGGAGTCTACACATGCTTATTATGAATAAACTTTTTATTACTTCTATGTTCTCTATAAATCTCTTCCTCATCTTCCTCCTCAAGCTCACTGTTCCCATATTCCTGGTATTACCAACTTCATTAAATTCTTTTTTACTCTTCACCAAATTCTTTCAAACTTGGCATGGTGGCACATGCCTGTAATCTTAGCACAGTGGGAGGCTAAAGCAGGAGGCTTGCAAGTTCGAACTCAGCCTGGGCAACTTAGGAAGACTCTGTCTCAAATAAAAATATAAATAAATAAATAATAAAAGCACTATGATAGGGCTCAAAGACCCTACCTAAGTCTAATCCCTAATACCACAAAAAAATTTATTTTTACTTTATCCTCTTACTTGATCATCACTATCAGCAATATAATTCTTCTCACTCTCCTTTGTACTGGTGATGGTGGTGATTCAATCTATGGCTTCATGTATGCCAGGCAAGTGCTCTACCACTAAGCCCTTTCTACTTTATTTTGAGACAAGTTCTCATTAAATTGGCCTTGAACCTGCATCCTCCTGCCTTAGCCTTGTGAGTAACTGGGATTACAAGTGCATGCCACCAAGCACAACGTTCTCTTCCCATTCCTGACTCCACATCAATTTCTACTTACTGCCTAATTCTCCACGATCCCTTATGATAAACTTCTCTGAAAGATTTGTCCCATTTTTTCTTGATTTCCCTAGTGTCAATCTTTCCATCCTTCATTCATGAGTATCTTTCATCTTGTCAAACTGAGTAATTCCTAGGCCTCCTCCTGGGAATCAAGTAATTACCATGCTCAGCTTATGCATGACATACAACAGGGTTAGTCATGGCTTCCTTTTGAAACACACTCCCTTCTTTCCTTATCTTCAGGAAACCAGTCTTATTTGACTTTCCTATTTCAGTTCCTTTGCTGTTTCCTTCTTATTTCCCCAACTATGTCTTTAAACCACTTTCTCCATGCACACTTAACTTCCAACAACCACAGAGCCTTTTAATGTTCAGTACATGCCTAGAACTCCTGAATGCCTCTTGCTAACCTAGAGATCCCCTCAGTGCCAAACTTAAATATCCAGTTTCCTATTTATTCTACTCCACTAGATGGATCCATATGGGCATCCCAAACAAGGCAACCCAAATCCAAATTCTTGATTTCCCCACCCGCCAAATTTGCTCTTGCTGTGATCCTGATCATTTCAATAAACAGCAACTGCAAGCAGATACACAGGCCATCAATTCTGCTGCCGCGCTTCCTTTCGCTCAGTTTGCAACTAGTTAACAGATGATCCGTTTAGTGCTAATGTTCGCTGCACCACACAAATCCAAGCCTTATCACCTTTCAATTCGATCTTCCCGTTTCTACCCTTTTTCTGCCCCCACTTACAATATCTCTTCCACACAGCAATACAGGAGATTTAATAAAATTTAAGTTAGATCAGTTATTGAGTTCAAGTCACTCAATGCCCTGCTTAAAATCTGTATGTGAATTTCCTAAAAGCCCCACAGAGTACTTTTCAACCTCATCTCCTACTGTATTCTTTCTCCTCCACCCTCCTCCACCCAGTGGTTTCTTCCTCATCTAAGAACACACATCCCCCTAGGAACCCTGGGCTTGTTGTTCCCAACAGTTACAATGTTCTCAAAAATATCTGCATGATTCACTTTCTGGCTCCCTTCAAATTTCCATTCATGTACCATACATCAGCAGCTTCCTTCACCACACTGCATGACGGAACAGCCACCTTTTCTGTCAGCATCTACTTACTACTTCTCCCCCTCTTACAGAATTTAGATCTCTAACAGTAGTGACTACATCTTTTTTCATCTCCAGAGCCTAGAACAGTGCTTTGCATTATAGCAGGTTGATACAACAGGTTGATACCTGCTGAATGAACTGGTAAGACAGTGCAAATAAATACAAACAGTCCCCTGAGGAAAACAATTCTATAAGGACTTCTGCAAAGTTCTGAAAATTCCAAAAATCATCAATCAAGTGTACTTATTAGGTAACTGATTTTCATTTTATAAAGAAAAGTACTCATACTATAATACAGCTTTACTTTTATAAAAGAATTTATAAAGACTAAGTTGTTATAAATCATCTTTTTTGATTTCACATGGGCACTCAAAAAATAAACTATTTTATATAACAGTCATTTCTTCCTAGATAAACTTTGATAACAACATTTGTGAATAACAACATTTATCTCTTTTGTTTTCTTAAAATTCTCCTGAAATACTTTAAAAATACACGAAGTTTAAATAAAGTAACAGTCTGGAACTCACCATTGCAATAAAGCGACCAATGAAACAGAAGTATGAAAGATGGTCTGGATTAATAGTTGATGCTGGATTAATCTGTAGACAATAGTTGTTTTTGCCCGCATACTCAAATAAGCAATACATTGGGTTCAAAACTTCATGTGAAAGCAAGAAAAACCATTCTCTATAAGAAAATAAGATTATTTTTCAGCATCAATATATATGTACATTTAAAAGCAAGTCTTAAACATACTCTTTTATGTACTTGTGCTCAATAACCTTTACAGTTTCACTGCCCAGGTCCTCAGCACTCCACTGAAGTTCTATGACCTAGCTTCCACTCAGAGTTGCCTGTTAATTGCTGCATTACCAAACTATACACTCACCGGTGGTTCCTCACCTGGACATGCTTATTTCTGTGCTGCATGTTTATCTGGCTATGTCTCTTCAATCTAACTAGATCGCACTTTTTCTCAGTCCAGCTTAAATCTACTTCAGGTAATTTTTGAAGCTTTTCAGTGTGCTACCTGTGTCAGTCACTGAACAGTCTGTGGTAACATCCCCGAATATTACTCACTTTCATGTAGATGACCTGTCCTATGTACCAGGCTGTAAGCTCCTCATTGGGAAAAGCCGTATCTAATGTATTTTCTTGGGTTCTTAACTTTCACAGGAATTCTAGATGTACACAAAATAATTTTGTTGTGTTTTGTTTGGGGTGGTGCTAGAGATAGAGCCCAGAGCCTCACACGGGCTGGGCAAGTGCTCTGCCACTGAGCTGTAACCCCAGACTCTATGACAGATTTTAATACGTATTTCCTGGTGATACTGAGGTACAACACTGCTGCTATGGAACAGATTTAATTTTATTGTAAATGCATTAAAAACAAGACTAAAATTAGGTGAAATCTTTAAATGTGATAAGCAACATCTAACTTTTTGTCACATTTTAAAAAGGCTAATAGATAAAATACAACTAGATAAGCGTAATTCCAGGCTCACATGCTTACAGCGGTCACTGAGTACATAGGACTTCACACTCTCTGCTTAGCCATAACCCTTGGCTTTAAGGAAGGAATTTCTGGTACATTATCCCAGTCCTTAAGCCAACTGGGTAGTGGGGGCACTGTAACAAAACAGAGTTTATGCTACCCTACAAAGGAAGCAGCTACTGGGATTCAGCCAACTGATACAAGTAAGAGGGTGAAAAAGAGCGTCTAGGGTTTTTAAAGAAAAACCAGAAATTTGCATCAGCCTCCTGAGAGCTGGAATTACAGGCTCCAGGCTAGAAATCCTGATTCTTATGCAGGATCTTGTGATTTTTAAAAAAATTATTATCAAGTAATTTAAAAAATTTCCACAATGGGCCACCTTTACACATGTTCACCTGGCCTGTATGTGCTGTCCTCTAGAGCTTTTGAAACATGATCCCTGAACCTGCCTGAACGGCGTAGAGGGAAGTCCCTAAACATAACCAACTGAGCAATGATAAGCACCAATTCACAGAAGTCCCAACAGCTGAAACAAGGGACTTCCCTCTGTAACGAGGCTGCCAGGGAAGAGGACTGAGCAGGTGTAGTCAGAAAGTGTTTAGATATGCACACAAAAACTAGAAATTTCCCACTGCTTCAGATCATGTTTAGCAAGTAGCAGCCCAGAGAAACTCAATCCATTCAATAGGATGTTCATGTCACCTGACCTTCACCCTAATGCTAGCAGAAAAGAAGGAAAAATTCCTAACTAGCAAGAGACCAGAGAGTTAACTTTCAACATATTCTCCACACTTTCAAATAAAATGAAGACACACAAGAGGTTGAAAAAACTGACACAACAGATGAACTAGCAGAGCCTAGGGAAGAAATGAAGAAAACAGTAAAACCACTAATGAAGAAAAATCACATCAGAAGCAGCAAAATGTAGGGCAGTACAGCAGAAAGTGACACAAGGACAGGCTAGAGAAAAATTCAAACAAAATGAAAAGCACAGAGATAAAAATGATTAAAGGTGACAGACATGTAAGACTGACAGAGATTCCACATACCCATGATTGATGTTCCTGAAGAAAAAATGGAACAAATGGAACAGAAAAAAATATTCAAAGATACAATAGAAAACTTCCCTGAGATTAAGAAAGATCTTCATACGTTCCTTAAAAAGATATAAAACAATCAACAATGGAATTAATGAACTTCAAGTAAAAGATCTGTGTGTGCACCTAGGGAGAAGTTTCCTACAAGAAGCCGACAGTACTGATACCAAGGATAGAAAACAGTGAAGCAACATCTACAAAGTATTGGAGAAACAAGTGTTCTGCAAGAAATTCACCTTTGGTAAGGTTGTTGTTTTTATACAAATGTAACAGAAGACATTTTCAAGCATGCAAAGACTGTAGCAATGTATCACTCCTATGTACTCTGGAATAAACCATTTGATGATAAATCTAGCCCACTAACTGAATCAAAAAAGAACTTAGGAGTAGGAAACTCATGACATACAGGAACCTGCTACATAGACTAAAACTGTCAAAATATAAAACTAGACCCAAACAGTTTAGGTAAATAAGGGTTCAAACAAGAATGAGAATATTACAAAGTCAGATAATGGGACTGTGATAGCATAATTCTTCCCTTCTAAAATACACCTTTTAGAAGCCTAAACATTTCTGAACTGAGAAAAATTCGTAATAGATGTGATATGAACATTTACTGTGGTAGATAGTATTTATTTACTGAAAAAGCTTAGCAATGTTTTATTTATTTATTTTTTTTTTTGGTTTTTCTTCGGTACCAGGAACCGAACTCACGACCTTGCGCTTGCCAGGCAGGCGCTTTTGCCGCTGAGCTAAATCCCCAGCCCCAAATGAATGAACTTTCTTTCTTTTTTTTTTTTTTTGTTTGGTTTTTCTCCGGTACCGGGAACCGAACTCACGACCTTGTGCTTGCCAGGCAGGCGCTTTGCCGCTGAGCTAAATCCCCAGCCCCTGTCTTAGCAATGTTTTAGATGAAGAAGTGTGTTTTTAAATGAACTCTTGATAACCCTATATATGTTATATATCTTCTCCCACCAGTTGTGCCTGGTCCAGTATCTTTCTTTGTCCCTTAACACAGATACTGTAATTGTGCACATCGATAAAATGTGCATTCAAAAAGTTGCAAGTGGGTGAGGGGTATATTCCTGTAATCTCAGCCCTGGAGAGGCTGAAGCAGGAGGATCACACATTCAAGACTAGCTTGGCTACATAGTGAGTTCATGGTCAGCCTGGACAATATAGTGAGATGCTATCTCAAAACAAACAAACAAACAAACAGGAATTGAATTCATAGCCAAAACCAAAAACAAAACAAAAGAGAAAATTCACTGCCAATTTTGGTTTGTGCAAAGTAATTAAGAGAAAAAAATTATGGTACATTATAAGGATTTTCCATTCATTGCTTCACAAATCTCTACTGTTAATAATACATTCATCAAATGTGGAGAATTTTACTCTATGAAGAAATTCAGATTAGATTAAAAATAAACATAAACTGTACATACAGCATTACAATAGCAAATACTAACAAATAACCTTATTCTCATCCATTTATTATGGTATCTCCGAGTATAGAATACCGTGTAGCTATTTGAAAAAAATGAACATTCTCTTTCTCTCTCCATGCTATCCAAAATAAAATCAATTCTTTGTTTTTACCCTCAGCATCAAACCTAGGACCTCATGCATACTAACCAAACACTCTTTTAATATTAATCTATAAAACTAGCCCCCAAATTAAGTTCTCATATGTTATGCATTGTATAGTTGTTTTTACTAAAAAGCTCATATGTACAATTTATACGTATGAAAAGAAAACATATAGCAGACAACTAGCTATGGAATAATGGTTACCTTGACAGCTGTGCAACTATTTTAAATTTTGGTTTTAAAAATATTTCTGGATTACTATTGAAAAACAAACCAATACATTCACCTATCTTTTTAAAGACTATATCCACTGAATACACTGAGATATATTTATTTCAAAGTAGGTATGTATCAATTTTACCTTGCTAGGCCACCATAATCAAGTCCTTCTTCTCCTCTAAATATTACATATAATCGCCTCCTCAAATCGTAAGGTTTTAATGCCATAATCTGATTAGAACAAAAACATGAACATTCAAACACTCATACATAGAACCAGTTATTTTCAAAACAATTTCATTTAATCTATACTCTCAAAATTATACATTTTCTTACCACATACAGTGCCTTTAACTCAAGAAATCCATTTCTTTGTTCCACAGACTAGATAAAAACATGCATCAATCTATGACACCTCCTCTGACTCATTTTCATACTCTTCCTTTTTCAGTAGTAAACAGTTCTGCTTTGGGTTAGTGTTGAGAGGGAGAGTTTGAGGCAGAAACCTTCTAAAGTTAGAAAATATTCTCTTCCTCTCACTTTGAAAAACCTTACTAAGACCTTTTCGATAGGTAACTTGCAGATTTTTCTGGATAGCAAACTTCAGAGGCAAAAGAACTTACATTGCACATTCTGTTTCTTAGTAGGAAAGAACTCATCTGTATTCATTTATGTAAGATATATTAAAATAAAATCTACACCAAAATTTTCATAATCTTTAACAGCTAATATCAAGGTTACCAGTGAGTAGGCTTTATGTTTAATAAAAATGAGCTACTTCCATCACACATATGTCAGAACCACAGCCAAGACAGGCAGGTTTAGGTCAGAGCACAGCTCGCCCAGAGGGCTCCTTCAGGGGCAGTTATGGGCTCAAACACACGTGTTCAATAATCGATCATGCTTCTTCCCAAGATGGTAAAAAGCAAAATAAAGTCTGCCAAGAATTTGGATATATACTTACTAAAGTCAACTCAAGCACAGCTTGAAACAAGTTGCTTGGAAGCTTGAAACATTTATTTTGCTAAGAATTTACTAACTCAACCCCTCTCTCCAAAAAGTTCTGGTAATAGTTACATTCAAAGTGTAACAGCTAGTAAAATTAAGCAAGGATTTCAATGTTGTTATTTCGTTTTGGCCTGTACAAAGAATAACTTAAATGCCCTATGTACCTGAGTACACAAAAAGTATGGTTTATTATCTTTCTACTTTACAGAGGAAAGAGAAATCATATATGGAAAATTCTCCACTTCACTGTAAAAAATAACAGTGTTCTGATTTTAAACATTATGCAGGTGATTCAGGCAGGGTAGACATACAGTATGCTCAGACAAGGGTGCTTTTAAAAAGAAACAAAGGTGAGAATGAGCATCAGGATTATTAATGGAATAGTCAAACAGAAGGTGGTATCTACCAATTTAATTTTCTTAGTTTTATCAAAACTTTTTTGTTAGAAGTAGGGTTAAAACAGATCGACTTGTTCCAAAAGGTTTTTAAGCTTTATTTTAATAGGTACACATCTAAATCTGTGATAGAATGACTCTCTCAATCTCAGTACTGGTATCTAAACAGAGATACTGACAAAAGCTGTATCTCAAAGGGATGAAATAACTATAAGATGCTGGTGCCAACCAAATGACAATCACTCAACACATGGTAAGGTTTACTGTAACTGTTATTAAAATGGTTACTCAAGATGTGGCAGTTGGTATTATTCCTAAAGTTTCTAAAACACTTTAGATGTAATAATACCTTTAGTATATACAATAAAATAAAGTGCATAGTACTGTTTATTTTCTTTTTTTTTTGGTTTTTCTCTGGTACCGGGAACCGAACTCACGACCTTGCGCTTGCCAGGCAGGCACTTTTGCCGCTGAGCTAAATCCCCAGCCCCAGTACTGTTTATTTTCATAAAATCTTCCTTACCTGTTGGAAAGAATCTTCAAATAATGTCTGCCGGGACACATTAATCTTTACATGACTGGGTAGTGCATTAGACTAAAAACAAAAGTATATTATATATAAGCCACAGTTTATAAAAAGTATAAAGATATGACTAAATGATTATAAAGATAAGATTTATTTACCACTGTAGTACCTGGCACAAATAACGGAAGTGAGCAAGTTTCCACCTGAAGCTGCGCTCATAAGCAATCTGTGGACCACCCTTAGTTCTACAGAAAAACAGAAACAAACATTAATTTGTAATAAGCTGAATATTTAATATTCACTATGAAACCAGAGTGTACCAGAGTCCTACATACAGCCAAGGGAAGTTAAGTTATACCCCAGCAGAGGAATAAAGTTCTATTTAGTGGGCCAAAAGAGACTTGAGCCAGGAGGGGTACATTACAGCAACACAATACACATGGAAAGAGAGACTGTATGATTAGCTAGCTAGGTCTTTGCTAAGTAGTTAACTGAAATGGTAAAGGCTACTGCAGACTTATTTGATAATCCTAAAAATCCAAGGACAGCGACTCTAAGTAAAAGAGACATCAAAGGAAATTGTATCATATTTTAACACTAATCTGAACTAAATGTATACTGCTTGAGATAATATGCAAAGCAAAATCAAATTCCTAGGAATAAGTGATACCCACGTCACAGGACTCAGATGGTTAGAGAGAAAAGACAAGAGTGGCTGCCATTTAGGAATGCGGACTTCACACTGCGGTTCAACTCGAAGAGAGGGCGAGTGCCTTGCTTCCCGAGCAACAGCATACCATATGGGCACAAAGAACTTTGACAATCACAGAAACATTTTAGAAGAGATGAGAAATGTTCTCTTGTGGCATTCCATTCAAATTAATCCATTCGAACAACAAATATTTACTGCACACACAGCAGGTACCTGGAGTTCTTTTAGATAGGGAATTACTTGTTAATAAGATAGATAAAAACGCCTATTTTGTGGAACTTACACACTAGTGAGAGAGACAGACAAACACAATCAGTAAGTATGAATGAGTAATGATGTATGGTATGTGTCAGAAAGGGGTATCTAACCACTCCATTTAAAAGAAATGGCCTTGTTAAAAGGACAAATGGTAAGAAGTGGTATGGGGAGAGTAATTCTGCAACTGTGGAAAGAGTGAATAAATTAGGGTTCTGTTTTGGATATTTTTTTTTGTCGTTGAGACAAAATATTTAACGCCCAAAATGAAGGAAGGAAAGGTTTATTTAGCTTATAGTTTGTGGAGGTTTTAGTTTATATTTGGTTGGCTCTGAGGCAGAAGGTAGCAAAGCAACAAGGGTAAAGGGGTGAATGGCAGCCGAACAGCAAAGCAGCCAGAGCAGAAAGGGAGGAATGGCGGCAAGTAGTTTTTTTTCCTGTCTCACTTTGTAAATAGGTTACCCCCACCTAAGGGGCGTGTAGCTCTCATATAATCTGTATGTTTTTTTTTTTTTTTTTACAGGCTCAGGATGTATATAAAGTAAGCACCCTGGCTTTTTGTTGAGTTAGCCAAACCTCTAGACTCACCAAGTTGACATAATATATTAACCATAACATTTTATTTTTCGTTAACTTGGCAACCAGACACATTTTTTAAAATCAGTTTTTAGGTATAAAGACATTATATTATATTAGAACCATAATATTTCATCTCCTAAAGACTCATGTATATTTTTTTATGTAAAAGGCATTTAGTCCATCTGAAAGAGTTGCCAAAGTCCTAACAGTTGTAGCACTGTTGAAGAGTCCAATTCCCAAGTTTTTTCGGGGATGAAGGCAAACTCTTAGTTGTGACCCCCTGTATAAATGAAAAGTTAAATACTTTTAACATTTAATGGCACAAAATAAGCAGTACCATTTTACAAGGTACAAACACGGGGATATAGAGTATGGGGACCAAAGCAAGTCCAAAATCCAGCAGGGCTAATGTTACATCCTGTAGTTTTATGTTTAGCATCTGAAGCAATCTGTGGCACATTGTGAGCTCCCAAGGGCACGTACGAGTCCACCCCTATGGCACTTTTAGTGGCCAAAGCTTTTGTGGTTTTTATTTTGAGGCCTGTTTTGCTCCCTCCCTGTAGTTTTTTTTAGATGATCTATGGTCCTGGCTTTTTTAAACTTTTGAGGTCTCCAGGGCACCTTTTGTTTTATATTTACAGTTTTATATATTGTTTTCTAAGGGGCACATTATTTGGCCTCCCAGGCCTTCTGAAATTTGGGTGGAAGCCTCTGGACCCTTAGAACTCTTGTATTTCTAATGCACCTAAAGCCAGGGGGTCTGCTGCCACCTGGAGCAGTAGCCAAGTTTTTTTTTTTTTTGGCCACAGGGGTCGAGTGCCTGGATCGCTGGGCACTCTGAACCCAAGTTTGAGGAGCAAATCCTCTATGTTGCCGCCATTTTGGAACCTGGTGCGGCCGCTGTCGCCATTTTGGAACATGGTGTACTGAGGCTTTTTTTTTTAAGACAAGGTCTGTCACCTTTGTAGTTTTGAGGCTGCAAAGGGTGGAGACTTGTTGTTTTTTGTGATGCCCTCAGGCCATCTTTTTTATTTTGTTTTTTTTTTAGTAATAGAGATCTCAGCCTTATCTTTGTAGTCCACAGCATTACTGGAGCTTTTTTTTTGGTCAAACTCACAACATTTTAAATCATCCTGTTGGGCTCTTTGTTTTTGAGTCTCAATATATATCTGGCTAAAAGCCCCCAACAATAGCCATGTCATTTTCCCAACATTTGACTGTCTTAAAATTTTTTTTGTCAAATTAACCAGTCTATTGTTGCCCTTAATCTCAGTCTTAGGCAGTCTCTGGACATGAGCAAAATGTAGACAAACTTTCTGTTAAGCCATAACATATATCGTCTGGAGTCTAATGACCAATGTAGTTTTTTTTTCCAGCAGAAACCTCCTGAACTTGGTCTTTACTGGCACAATTTTTATCAGCCTTCTGGGCTTCTGAGCTCTGACCAGAATCTCCCAGACAGAACAGCCGAAGGCGTTCTAGCGCTTTTCTTTCAGGTGACATCTCTGAACCTTTTTGAACACTTTTCATAAGCCATTTTTAAAGGCTGTTGAACCACATGGTTAGATATAGTCACAGCAACGACCCCACTCCTGGTACCAAATTCTGTCTTGGTTACTTCACTCTCATTGCTGAGACAAAATATCCAACACCCAAAATGAAGGAAGGAAAGGTTTATTTAGCTTACAGTTTGTGGAGGTTTCAGTTCATACTTGGCTGGCTCAGAGGCAGAAGGTAGCAAAGCAACAAGAGCAAAGTGGGGAATGGCAGATGAACAGCAAAGCAGCCAGAGCAGAAAGGGAGGAATGGCGGCAAGCAACTTCTTTCCCTTCCTTACTTTGTAAACAGGCTACCCCCACCTAAGGGGAGTGTAGCTCTCACATAATCTCCATGCCCTCCTCTTCCACAGGCTCAGGATGTATACAAAGTAAGCACCCTGGCTTCCTGCTGAGTCACTTAGCCAAACCTCTAGACTCCCCAAGTTGACACAATGTATCAACCATAACAGGTTCATAGGAGACTTATCATTTGAGCACAGAAATAAAGACAAAGAGGGTATAACATATAGATATTTAGAGAAAAAACATATCAAGCACAGAGAATAAGGGCTACGACTCAGATGTAGAAGCATAAAATGTTCAAGGTACAGTTAGGTGTAGCAGTGCAGAGTGAATGAAAAGGGGAAAACAAGATGAAGCTGAAGTGACCACAGGGTCTGACTGTACGTGATTTTATCGGCCACTGTAAAGACTGCTTTTCACTATGCTTGAGATGAAAACCACAGAAAGTGCTAAGGAATGACATTTAGATGTCTTTATAAAACCAGTCTGTGCTATACAGAGAATCACATAACATTATATAAAGTGTCAAGAGAAAGTAAATGGACAGTAGACTCTGGTACCAGGTGAGAGACAGTAATAGCTTGGACTAGAGTGGTGATCCTGGCAGTTGTGAGATGTAGGTGTTCTCAAGCTGACAACAACAACACGGGGTAAATACTAGTTGGAGGTACCATAGATGTCATAGTGAGAATTTACAATAGAATTTGTGTGACTGCTTCAATTTTTTTATAAAGACATCATACCTAAGAGTAAGGATTAAGAGAGATTTGTCAATTGCTTAACTAAGGAATCTACCTGGAAATTCAGTTTTGCTCAATATCTTATTTCTTGTGGCAGCAGTACGATGTGGTAGCTGAGAGCACAGACTCTGGAGATGGACTGCTTTGGCCAGGAGCCAGCTCCATTACTTGTCTCATGTCTCAGCAGTGAGGTATGCTCACTATATTTGTTTCCTTACTTGGTAAAGAGAAAATAATAGTTTCTATTCCAAAGCATTGTTTAAATATAAAAATGAGCTAATAAATATAAAGTGCTTAGAACAATCTTTGGCATGTAATATTTACTATGTATATGCTTGCCACTGTTACTAAATGTCATATATAATTAAAGAATTACATGCCGCAAGTTCATTCTGCAATACAAGCAAAGACAGGTGTACTATGATACTACTTTCTGAACCAAAAAAAGCATTTAAAAAGAACTTCAGGTTTTCACTTACACAGATGACTTCCCATTGCGAGGATCTTTGAATGTTGTTGTTCTTGTGTTATGATCAACAAAATACCTAACACCTTCTCGAGTATACCTTATTTCCCAGCCTTCTGGCAAGGGTTCTTCATTCTGCAAACTAAAACATAAATGTTACATTCACAGGTAAATACTGCCAGGGCATTCAAGGTTCACCAATTCTATCTGCACAGAGGTGAAGATGACTTGCGTAAGGCTGTAGTGTACACACATACCCTTGAGTTCTTGGGTCTTCCCACTGAGTTGTTTTTGTGTTATGATTCACAAAGTACACCCTGTCTGTTGAATCCACCCTTTTTTCTACAAAATAAAACGAGTATAACATTTAACACCTATTTGGTATAAGTATACATTTTACAGATATTTTTACCAACATAATCTCAACTTACCCCAGCCTGGTGGCAAAGGTCCGTACGGGTCATTTTCTGCAGCTAACATTGAAGCCTGATTGGTGAAGACATTGGAGTGAAAAAGAATAGTACTTTAACATAAAAACAGAAAGAAGTTAAGCACTTGGCAGAATCACATCTTAAAATTTTTTTAAAAAAAGGTATGATAAAGGAATAGGAACAGTAATCCTAAAACACCAAGTTCTGCACACGTCATGAGGTAAGAGCATTCAACCACATGAATGGTATATAAATGGGGGGTATTATTTACTTGATGCAATTGTCACAGTGTTCTTTAAAACAAATGTCCATTAATAAAACCAATAAACTTCAGAATCAACTTTACAAAACTTTTATCTTTTGCTTAGTAACTTTTGGATATTCATATACAAAAACAATTTTTATGGATGTATATTATAATTAGATAGCTCTACCAAAGCTGTCTTCCTTCTCAATTGCCCTTTACACTTTTTTTATGATCTAGCCCCTAGGAGTGAGGCTCAGAGTGCAGCAGCGCTGTATGCTCAAAATAACAGGCACGATGCACAATCAGGACGGATGCGCTAAGAGGCAGTAAGAACCGGGGTACTTGATGGCACTGCTGAGCCGAGTATTTGTCCTAGATGCCAGATGTGCTTTCTATTGAGATAACTTAACTTTAATCCTTTAAAAGAGAGTCTTATCTGCAGAAGAGTAATATTCTGAACCATACCTAATTCCTAATTTCTGTTTCCCAAAGGTTTTTTTTAACACACATAAGTCATACAGAAACCAAAATCTACACAGTACATATTTTCTTTTATGCTATATGTACATTGAGTGTTCCTAATCTGAAGTTCTCCAAAACCTGAAAATTTTTGAGAATGTTTATATGTATCAGAAACAATTATTAATTAAAGATGAACCAAAAACTATCTTGAGATGGATTTTAGAAAATCACCAAAGTAGAAGAGGGCAAATGCCTGGGGAACTACATATATTCGTAATTACCAAGTAATCATTGAGTAATTTGTAGTTACCGAATAGAGGTATCGCTGGTTGAACTGTTGCATAGCTCCCTGCAGCTGGTTCCGCTGAGATTGCCACTGTTCAAAATTTCGAACAGATTCCATGGTAGGCCGCTGCCACGTTGTTGTTCTGGTGTTATGATCCACATAATAAACCCTCCCACGATCATCAACTCTTCTTTCCCAACTACCACAAATAAAATGATCAATAATAAAAATGAATTAAACAATATTCTTCCAAAGTAAGAAAATTAAAGATAGTTAATACTTCACTCAAGTAACTTAAAAATCAGTCCAAGACATGATTATAAATTGAAAATATATATTTTTATCATATAATCTATAAAACTGTAAAATACGTATTTTAGCAAAATTACCATTTTATCACTAACACAACTTCTAAAGACTGCCTTACAAAGAGACAAGTGATTCCACAATTTCAGTTTCAACTCTTTCTTCCCTCTTTTTTTCTCTGATATGGATTTACTGAACTAAATCCTTTTTCAATGGGTTTAAATGGACTCTGACCACTGCCCATTTTTAAGACATTACCTCAGTTCTTTCTGTTGCTTTGTAACTCACCTTCTGCTGTCAAACTGGGCAAGCTATCTTCCTGACTGCACATGCAATCACGTCATTCCACCCACCACAGCTCTTTGGGACAACATAAAAATGAACCCCTCTACCTTTTCAGGCTCATCTTCCGGAGATCCAGCAAAGGCCCCATATGACAGCTGAACAACTACCTGCTGTTTTTAAGTATGTCATGTGCTTCTTTCTGTCAGGTCTTTCTTTCAATATTCCAGAAGAACACAAAGTCCATCCCTACTTCCCCCTCCACCACAGTGCTGCAGGCTCCAGGGTTGAGTTCATCTCTCACTTTTCCCACCCATCTCCCATTTTGACTTTTTGGCATCAGTTTACAACTCTAACACCTATCTTAGAATCCTTTCAGCAACTAATTTTAAATTCTGTAAAGTTATTGTTAAAAATACAGTGCAGTCAAATAATTCATGCATACTTCTCCATAGTTTTCTATAAAGAAGTATCAGAATTGTTCAATGTTATGACAATTATCTACAAAGATGGCTTTAAGCCAACTTACATTACTTTATGCTTAAAGTTAGTAGGTTTTAAATTAAAAAAAAATTTTTTGTATAACAAAGTTCATGGTATTAGGTTATGTTTCAAGATCATTTTCAAAATGATCTTCCTTTACCTTTGTATTTTTATAACTATACCTCTCACATTGATAGCTTATTGAATTATACCCTTTATATTCCTCCCACCAACATTCTGCCTATTCCTGGAATATATTTTTTACTGTCTTTGAAACTTAGAGTCTCTATCCTTCCAGAGTTTGGTGAGCTATGTCCCTTTTACAGAAGAAAGTATTCAGGTCTTGATCCTATAGTATTAAATAATAACTTATCAGAAAGCATGGACCTGATATTGCAATAAGCAAACCATAAGGTTCACCACATTATTATATGGAGTTTATTTCACTAAAACTGCTGTCCAGGAATTTAGTGGAGATTAACTTAAATTTTATCTGAGGAGCATATTATGTTATGCTGTATTACATAAACATAAAAATTTTAATTATGTGTGTGACTTCACAAACACATACACACATGTGGTAAAAACACACATTTATGATAAAAATATAATTAAAGATACACAAAGATACTACATTACCCTGGAGGCAAAGGCTGTGGTCTCTCCCATGTGGTAGTTCGAGTGTTATGATCTACATAATAGGTTCTACCGTGAGGATCTTTTCTCTGTTCCCACCTTTAAAAAAAATACAAAATAAAGGGCAATAAATTAGGACAACCTGAATCAGGAAAATTAAAAGTAAGTTTTACTTCACATAGCTACATACATATATACATATATATACAGACACATACATGTATGTTAAAGATAGTTTCATAAATTATTTGTCGTTTTTAAGCTCACACTTATTCCTTCTTTTATAACAGTACTAGGAACTCAAACAGTAACCAGTTAGTAGAGAAGGGATGAATACCTACAATTTTTAAAGTTACAATCTAATTTTACAATCTCCAAATTACCAGAAAATAGAAAATATAATCAAGAGTAGAGGAATCTCAGCCTAACTTCAACTTCAAGCCACAAAAGTCATTAAGTAATACCATTTCACCTACGATTTCAAAAATACACAAGTAAAAGGGTTTTTTACATGACAGCTGCTCCATGACAATTCCTATCTCTGTGCACACAGTTCCTTACTGTGTGCACCCATTTTGCTCTGGGTTTTACACAGCCCTCTGACCTTATGGATATCACAATTTTCTCTTTTCCAGTTCTGTCTCAAAGACTCCCCGTCTTTTATTTTCCCCACTCTAATTTTCTTCTCTAAGCACCGCTATTTATTCTTCTTTACTAATATACAGAAGAAAAAATATAAAAATAAATAAAACCCCGGTATTTTTAGTTTAGCCCCAGTGAAATTTAATTGATTATCAGATGCCTTAGTTTATTAAATTATTTTCCTTAGATTATCTTCATGCACTAAGGTCATAAACAAGCTACTGTATTAAAGCTATTCCCTAAATTAGGTTGCACGTACCTATATACACAATGACACATAGGCACAAAATAGTAATTTGTTTAAGCTACATCTAACAAATCTAAGTCACAAAAAGTTTAACTAGTAACTATGAGCAGTGACAATCCCTCAAGTTCACAATTATTCAGAATCACAGAAATCATTACATTTATCTATCAAAAACAATCACTGTGGTATATAAAACTCTATATGAACATTCATGTTATTCTGCACTGAAAAAAAATGTTGATACTTTGAAAGCATTTCACCAAAAATAACCTGGAAGCTCACATTTAAATGTTTCTTTTAAGAAAGTTCACAGGGAGAATCTAAACATGAAATTAGATTTTAAAGGCATTTCAGAAATGTCCACAACATACCTACGTATCTATGAGATATTTATCTGTATGGAAGCTTCAGTAATACAAACAAGTGAATACCTAACAACTTGATCAAGTCTGAAGAATTTCTTAATGGTACTTTTACTATTGTTATGTATTAATTTCCATAATTAGTCCTTAAATTTTTATTGCTATTCTACAGCAATATTCCCCAGTTCCAACTCTTTCTACACAAATACCTTTTAATATTTTAAATTTATCTTTAATTTTTATCAAAATTATATGTACTTCCAGTTCAGCACCTACTCTTACAGTTACATAATTATATACACTTTCACACAGTTTTCACACACAGTACATGGTGCTGTTTGGGAAAAACAATATCCACTGTTTCATTTTCCACTCTCCAAAGGCAACATTTTCCAATGTTTTATTCTATTCTTCTGGCTGGTCCCGAACTCATTATGTCGCCCAGGATGGCCTTAAACTCATGGCGACCCTCTTGCCTCAGCCTCTTTTTTTTTGTTTTTTGGTACCAGAAATTGAACTCAGGACCTTGCATTTGCCAGGCAGGTGCTTATGCCACTGAGCTATATCCCCAGCCCATGCCTCAGCCTCGTAAGTGCTGGGATTACAGGCTTGTGCCACCACACCTGGCTACCTCCTTTTCTTATTAACATGCTATCACTTACTTAGTTCCAAATATAATGTACTGACTTCTGACTATGAAAGATAAAGGTGTAGGTCTCTTTCCGGAACATATATATAAAAGTCTTCCTTCCAACTGTTACAAATATATATACAGTACCTTTATTATAATGATTATCTATGTAAACTCTGACAGCTAAGCTGCGGAATATGCCATGATTTCTTTTTCAAGAAAGTACTTCTAGCCGGGAATAACTTGCTCATCTCTCACTTACTTATTTTCTATGTACTTACGAATTAAACCTCCAATGCTTTTCCAGTAGCATCAACACTCTCTGTCAATGTTCAATCTCATTACTGATACACCTATCTTCTGATCAGCTTTGTCTAAAGGGAGTGCAAGGCCCACACCACTGGTGCATTTCTTTCACACCTCTCCTTGCAGAACCCCCACTTCCTGAATCCCAGGTCTTTCACTTTCATTACCTAGTTTTAAAGAAACACTGAGTCTTAGTTTCCTAAAATGAAGACATGGGAAGTAAACCTTTGGAAACCTAGGGTGATGATAATGCATTTACTTTATGTGCACAATCAACAGTGCAGTTGGATACAGAATTCCAGCTTGCACATGATTTCCCTCAACATTTTCACAAGTATGATAAAAAATAGAGTGAATATTTAACGTTTTAAAGATTACAATGAAAGACGCCATTAGCTCCCTCAAAAAACTTGTTCAAACACACTTGTTCTTGCCACTCTGAAGAAGTTCTAGAAATCCTCTTCCCAGTCTTTAGCTGCACTCTCATGGCTGCCTTAAAGTCCTGAATCGATTCAAAACATTTACTTTTTATGAGCAGTTTGACTGGGGAACAGCCAGAAGTCACAGTGACAGATTCGGTGACTAAGATAGAGGAAGTGCTCCAGTTTATGTCTATGTGGCCCCCAGGAGCACTGTGCTCTCACAGGTGGAGCTTTGGGAAGGTGATTAGGTCGTAGGGGCAACAGCTGGAAGAGGGGGGTCACTAGGGGCACGGCCTGGAAATCACCCTCCCTGGCTCCTCCCTCCTGTGTCTGTGCTGACCTGAACCGCTTCCGCCCCCAGGGCCCTTCCGCCATGCTGCCAACAGTGCAAGATAAAGCCTTCAGAAACGCGAGCCAAAATGAACCTCTCCTCCTCCAACCTGCTGGCGTCCGCTACTGAGTTCCAGTGACAAGAAAGGGACAAAGACGTGAGGAAACACCATGACAGTTTCTTTGGCACAAACAGCCATAAAAGAAAGGACCCAGGACACGGACCTCTGGAGAATGAAACTGTTTGCCCGTTCCTCAGGTATGCCTTTTCTACATACATCATTTCTCTACACTATGCCAAGCCCTTATAATATTCAGAGTTTACCATAATGTTCCTGGACACCAACAGCTAGAACAACTCCATCAAGGTAAAAGAAAATGTCATTCATATCACTGTGACTTTGAATCTTGACTGCCGTGCCTGTTTTTTATAAAAATTGGGTGATTTCCACTGAGAACTCTGACCATTATCTCAGGATCATAACCACAGACTTGAGCTTAAAAAGCTGGAACCTGAAGCTGCACAGCTGTGTGACTCCAAGGAAACTGGCAAAACCTCATGTCAATGGTTGTGCACAACTTCTGTCAACTATCGCACACAACCAGAACGCCCTTTTCCATCTCCACAAAGTCTAGCTTCCCTGTTTCCTATCCTCTCTTCTATTTTGCTCTTTAAATTATATTTGGGGCTTCTCATCTAAGAGAATCTATATGACAGTTAACATTCTATGTTTACTTTGCTCCCTTTTATACTCTCAAGGTACATTCATTTTCCTAAAAATGACTCAAATGTATCCTTCTTTATGGACGAGTAGTGCTGTATATGCACCACGTCATCACACCTTCTGTCTCCATTCGTCTGTTGATGGCAGGTAGGCCCCTGCAAAGATTTAGCTACTATGAGTTGCACAGGTACAGAGATAGGTATGCATACAACACTGTACTACGATGTCTTTAACTCTTTCAGGAAGATAACCAAAAGAGGTTTAGCTGCTTCAAATGCAATCTCTTTCTATTTTTAATTTTCAAAGGAATCTCCATACTGATTTCCACAGTGACTGCCCTAGTTTACATTCCCACCAATAAAGAATTCCTTTTTCCCTACAACTTCACCAGCATTTGTTGTGTTTTCATTTGCATTTCTCTAATAGCCAAGGATTACGAACACTTTATGTACCCACTGGCTGTTTGTACTTCCTCACTTGAAGTGTCTCTTTATTTTGATTGCCCTCTTTTTGATTGTGTCTTCTATTCGGGGGATAATTTTTTGAGTTCCTTATATATTCTAGATATTAGTCTTCTGTCTGAGGCGTCGCTGGCAAAATTGTTTTCCCATCATGTTTGTCTCTTTGTTCTTTCTTTGTTGAGCAGCAGCTTTTAAATTTGAGTCTCACTTGTTGATTATTGGTGTTATTAGGGTGCAAATAGGGTTCTATTCATGAAGTCCTTGTATATACTTATGCCTTCAAGAGTTTTACCTATTTTATTGTCCAGAAGATTGTTTCTATATTTTAATACCTAGGTCTTTGATCCATTTTGATTTTAGTACAGGTTAAGAGATATGTGGCTAGTTTCATTCTTCTACATGTGGAAAGCAGTTTTCCCAGAACCATCTGTTAAAGAGGAAATCTTTTTCTTTAATGTTTATTTTTGGCTCCTTTATCAAAGATCAGATGCATAAGATACCTAAAGCTGTTTCCACATCCTCTACTCTGTTCCATGGCTGTATGTACCTGTTTCTGTGCCAGTACTGTGCTGTTTTTATTACTGTAGTTATGTAATATAATTTGAAATCTAGTATTGTATGCGTCCTGATTTGCTGCTCAGGGTTGTTTTTACTATTCTGGGACTCTTGGTTCTATATAAATGTTAGGATTGTTTCTTCTAGTTCTAAGAAGAATGCTCTTTATATTTTAAAGGAGATTACATTAAATCTATGTATCATTTTTGGTAACACAGCCATTGTGACAAAACTGGCTCTGGCTATCCAGAACAGTGTATGTCTTTCCATTTGCTGATGTGCTCTTCAACCTCTTTTTTCAGAATACTAGTTTTCATTACATCTTGTTTAGGTTAATTCCTGTTTGGGTAATTGAGTGGGGGAACTATAGTGAATGAGAATGTATTCCTGGGGCTGGGGATTTAGCTCAGCGGCAAAGCGCCTGCCTGGCAAGCGCAAGGTCATGAGTTCGGTTCCCGGTACCGGAGAAAAAACCGAGAATGTATTCCTGATTTCTTCTTCAGTGGGTTCCTTGTTAGTAGACAGACTGCTACCGATTTTTGTTTGCTGATTTTGTATCCTGCTACTTTTCTAAATGTAAAGATCATGTCCTCTGTAGCAATTGATTCCTTCCATTCCTATTCATATTCTGTTTATTTCTTTTTCTTGCTCTGGCTAAATCTTCCAGTATTGTACTGAACAGGAGCGCTCACAGTCAATGCCCTCACCTTGTTTCCAATTTTAGAGAAAATGCTTTCAGTTTCTCTCCATTTAGCATGATATTGGCGGTGGGTCTGTCAAATGGCTTTTATCCGTTTGAGATAAAATCCTTCTATATCTATTTTTGTCAAGGTTTTTATTATGAATGGATGTTGGATTATGTCAAAGGCTTTTTCTTTGTCTTAATTTTTGTCTTTGCTTCTGTTTATGTGATGATTTTCATTTTTTGATTTACATATGGTTGAACCATCCTTGCACCTGTGGGACAAAGCCAACTTGGTCATGATGTATGATCTTTTTAGTGTTTTGTTGCATTCTGTTTGCCAGTATCTTTTTAAGGATTTCTGTGTTCACTAAGCAGACTGGCCAAAAACTTAGTTTTTGGTGCTGGACTTTTCATACTTGATAGGGTTTTATTAGTACCTCTATTACACTTCTTGATTTCTTATTACTGGTCTATTCAAGTTTTTATATCTTCTTGGTTAAGTTTTGGTAATTCACATATGTCGAGGAATTTCTCCATTTCTTCCAGGTTCTATAGTTAACTGGAATATAAGTTTTCAATATAGTTTCTTATAACGCTCTGGATTTTGGTGGTGTCTGTTTTGATTTTGCCTTTTTTCAGTTCTAACTAGATTGATACAGGTTTTTTTCATTCCTTCTTTCACTAAGTTTGGCTAAAGGTTTATTAATCTTTAATTCATTGACCTTCTGTGCTTAAATGTTGATCATAATCTATCAATAGACTGTAACCCATGATCTAAAAAACACTCATCTAAATTACTGCAAATGTTCCTAGTACAAAGATCACAAATGGTGGCAATAGGTATGATGAAGCATTTATTTGGCCCCACAGAATTAAGCTTCTCTTTTTAATGTTTTCAGCCAGAACACTTGCTACCTACATAATAAAATGACCTGGATGCTTAACTCGTTAATTCCTAATCTGTCCATAATCACTGTAAATATGATCTTCACAAACTAAAAATACGATTATGCCTTTCTTTGACAATACCGTGGATTCAAGCCAGGGCCTTCACACTGAGCCACATCCCCAACCCTTATTTTTGAGACCAGGTCTCACTACAATTGTCCAAGCTGGGCTTGAACTTGAAATCCTCCAGCCTCAGCTTCTCAGAGTGCTGTAATGACAGGTGTGTGCCACCACAGCTGGCTTTAAAATTCTTTAGTGTTTATTCATGATTTCCAGGAAAAACTCCTCCTAAACCTTTGGCAGACAGACAAAATTCTTCACAGGACTCTTTATTCTTCAGCATTATATTCTTTACTTCTGAAAATGCTGAATTTAAAACTGTAGAAAAATACTATTTCCTGAGTTCAGAATACTCATGTCATGGACGTCAGGGATGGCAGTATGCAACTGACTCTTCTAAGAACAAAGAGCCTTCATTACTTGTTTTGCTAACTTCTACCCTTCTTTCAGGAACTCACTTAGGAGTCATGATTTGACCTCAACAGCATAAATTATTCCCCTTCTCTACCCTCTGCACGTTCCTTCCCCACAGCATCCTAAACATACCTCCGGTCCAACTTTACCTGAAGTGTAGTCACTGGCTGTTTATCACTCATTAGACAATGAGGTTCCTGACAGGAAAAACAGCCTCTTTCATGTGTGCATCACAGTAACGGGCACAAGAGAGACTGGAGATAAATGACTAAATTACTGAACACAGGAGATATGGGACAAGACATTTCTGAGGAGGAAGTGGAAAATAACATAGGCTCTGATGTATCTGGTGGAGACAGAAGAGAGGGATCTCCACAAGGAGCTGCAGATAAGCTCAGAGAAAGGTCTGGCCTAGACATATAGGTATAGATTTAACTGCTAAAGGGACACAGAATACAAGATCCACCCAGGAAAGCACATATGGGAGAAGGCCAAAGGCTGAAATGACAACAGAGAAGTGGGTAAGATCAGATGAGCCAGTAAAGAGCACTGAGAAAAACCACTCCAAAAATAAGAATGAAGTATGAGCACAGTTACTGTGACAAGAAAATGAAGGCAATTAGAGACTAATGAGAAATCTCTGGGCAGTTTCAACAACTACAAGGTGTTAAACACTCTTCCAACAGAATGTCTAACAGATGGACATTTGTACTGCAAGCTGCACTGAAAGTATTTTGGGGGCTGGGGATATAGCACAGCGGCACAAGCCTGGCAAGGTCAAGGTCCTGAGTTTGATTCCTGGCACCAAAAAAAAGAAAGTAGTTCATCTATACTCTTCATGACAGCACTTTCAAACTATACTGAACACCTATGTTTTCAAATCTAAACCTATACGTAATATTCTTGAAGGAAGAAACAATGAACCATCATTAGTAGTAGTACCAGTGCCAAGCAGTGCCAAAAAAAGCTAAGTCAATATGGAAGAGAAGACCAAGTGGGATTCACATACAGAATACTCTATTAAGAAAATCACAAGAAGCTAAATAATAGCCGAGGGAAACTTAAAAGAGGTTAAGAAAAACTAAGCAGCAATAAAAACCTACATCTGTACTAGAGCCATTTGCAGGCTTATGCTACTATGCTCAGCACTCAATATTAACTGAACAGAATGGCTTGCTGCTCTCCAGGGTCAGGTCTGTACAGCAGACCACACAGGAAGCTAGAGAGCTTTGGTTATTACACAGAGTACTGTGGTCACTTTTGCCAAAAAGGAAAAATCAAATCAAGAGGATCTTGTAAATTAACAGATCAGCTTTTCTTTTCCTTTTATATTATATGTATTTCAACTAGATAAGCAATTGCTTTTAGCTCTAAAAAGCGTTTGTGTTGGAACAAATAAATAGTATGAATTGTATTCCAATTTAGATTTCAAGTTTCTGAACAACAGAAATATTTTATATGCATATTGCATTATCGTGTATCACCAAAAAGTTGCTACTTAAATGAAGTCAAACGTTCAAAAAGAATTTTTAACATACCCCGATGGCAAAGACTCTGTGTTGGTATTTCCAGACTGCTGTCGTACAGGTTCCACACACCCATCTGGCTGCCTTAATTTGTCAAAACCAGAACTATTTCCAGAATTAGAAGAGTCAGGGTCTAATATTCTCCTAGCTTCAGATTCCAGTTCTGTACTGGAGGAAAGAATACATTCACTGTGTTCTGAGGAAGCCGGTATCTCTTGAATGGGAGGATCTTCTATGGCAGCACTAGTGCAATTTGAAGTTAAAGTGGTTTCTTCAGATGCTACAGGAATATCCATGGCGGAAGCATTATCGGTTGGTGCAGATGAGGATGATTCTCCATTAACTGAAAAGGGAAAATTAATAAGATGATCCATGAAATGACAACAAACTGCCCAGTCACCCCATTAATGAACTACACTTCTTCAGAACCTAATTCAGACTGAACAATGTGCAAGTACTGATGAACATAAAGTGGAAAGAAATTATATTCCTCCCAGCTCATATTTTAGGAATAAATACATGAATAACAAAATTCCATAATTTTATTTATGTAATTTATATTATAATTATATAAAAATACTTATTTAGATAAGTCTTACATATTCAAACATAATATGCTTATAGTACATATTTATATATACCTTTATTTTATGCAGACACATATATAAATAACCTTGACTGCAGGAAAGAGCCCAGCATTTGGATAACAAATGCTTTCCTTTAATTCTTGAGCAACAGTCTACATGAGTTATATTAAACTTTAAAATGATCCCTTCAATGTCACTTTTTATACATAAATGGTAACTAATAAAATATTTTTAAAAAATTTTGTCTAGTACCAAATACACAATGGCATTAATTCTTAAAATAGTGCTACAAGGGACCACAAAAAAGAACTAGGAACCTGTTCTATACTTTAAGAAATAACTGATTAGTAAAACTCAGGGACAGTTTTCTTAATTTTCATGTTAAGTGTAACTGATGCATTTCAACTAAATATCACTACAAGAATGAGTTAAATTCTAAGTGCAAGGAGAATAGATTACTGAATAAAACCTATAGAACATTACAGATCATAGTTGTAAGGGAAACAATGAAGGTAAACAGAATTAGACTAAGGGAATCCTCACATAATTTTTTTAAAGGAAGAACAAACTTACATGGTAGGAAAGAGAGAAGGGTATACTATCAAAGGAATCAAACAGCATGTAAAAAAACAACAGAATAAATCAAGCACTGTACCAAACACGGAGGACAGAATGGTTGGAGGGTTAAAAAAAAAAATCAACAACAAAATATTTACAGAACTACTCCATACCCAACACTGTTAGATGTCATGGAGAAATAAATATGCAGAGAGACTGAATTCTCATTTCTTTATGATACTCACTTACAAACACTATTTCATTTAATTTCCTTCCTTCATGATGTGAAATTAATTCCCACAAAAGGATTATCAATAGTAGTTCCATGGCAAAACAACAATAAAATATTAAACAAAGAGTAGTATATTAGTAAAGATACAATCCAGTCCAAAAAGAAAGTCATAAACCTTTGTGTATACTGAAACATAGCAAATGAAACGTAAACTGTTAGAAACAAAGAAAATAAAATTTTACCAGTCAGTCAAGGCAAAACTTTGCTTCCAAATGTATTATGTAACTGAACAGCAGATGCTCTCAGCAGTTCTCTTGCCCGTCTTTATCACTACACCCCCCTCTTCTCTATCTTGCTTGCAACTGCTGTGACAGCTTCCTAATTGGTCTCCCTACCTCTTCTCTTGTTCAACTCAAGCTATTCTTCCAAGAACGCTGAAGCAATCCTTTAAACAGACCTTTTCACTCCTCTGATTAATCATCTGCATGGTGTCCTATGGCAAGCGGAATAAATACTAATGTCTTTAACACAGCCCTTGACAGAGACTCTACACAGGCCAGTCCACGGCTACACCTGACTTCTCACAAGGGTTGTATTCTTGTTCATTGAAGGGAACCGACTCTTGCCACTTCAGGAAGGTGTACTTACTGTTCCTACAGTCTCAGAATATTTCACGACTCACCCTTTTCCAGGTCACTCTCATCACATATTCAGAGAAGCAGTCCCTGGGTGTCTTATGTAATGTGGCACATGTCCTGCCCTCTTACTCAATATTGAGTTTCTTTTTCTTTTCTCTTCCTTTGAAATCATTTACTTGTTTTTCATTAAGGTTGGAGTGTAAAAGCTTGGCCAAACTTGTTGACTCCTGTATTCCTAATCACAACTAAATACATTTTTAGAGAAGCTGACATGTACAAAAAACAAAAGTAAGACTTCCTGTTACAGTCAGGAAATATTCTGACTGTAATAAAAACAAAAGCAAAATAAAATATTGAAATATTTGTAAAAATCTGGCAACATGCTCCATACTTTTCAGATTATCTTATTTAATCCTCACAATACAATGCTTCAATCCAAATACCAGCATTATAGTTCTCATATGCTCACTGAAATGATAATTTGCCTGTAATCCTAGTACTCCAGGAGTTTGAGGCAGGCAAATTGGAAGTTTGAGGCCAGCCTAAATTTAGTGACTTAGACTCTGTCTCAGGAAAGGAAAAGGGAAATGGGGAGGGGGCAAGGCGAAAGGGGACAGGGAATGGGGAGCGGGTGGGGAAGTGCGGGAGGGGAGGAGAGGGGAGGACAGCAAAGGAATAGGGCTGGGGATGTAGTTCATTACAAAGGCCCTGGGCTCAATTTCTAGTATTACTGAAAAAAAAAAAGAAAAAAAAAAAAAAGCAATTTGCCTAGCTTAGAGGACAAAATAAATAAATAAAATTACTGGACTGAAGAGGAAATCAAAATGTAATTACAAAATTTGAGGGGAATTAATGATAATGAAAACACAGGCCAAATGCAACTGGACATGCTAAGGAAGCAGCCAAAGGACTTAAAGAACAGTAATAAATGACCTTAGATTTCTATTGAGGGTGTGTACTGTGAAGAAAACTCATTTGTGAATGAGTTTTTTTATTTAGAACACACCAAAAAATCAACTGTAAAACCACTAGAACCAATTAATTGGAACTAAAACATTTCAACAAAATGACCAGACACAAGCTCAATGTCAAGATTACATTCAAGATCTAGCTGAAGAAAACTAAAAAATTTTTAAGAGATAATGAATTGAGAACGATATAAAACACTGATGCCTGAAAGAGTTAATACTGTTAGAAAATTAAAAGTAATTTATTTTTCTTTAGAATACAAATGTTGGTAAGAGTGTAGAGCAACAGAAACTTTCACTCTGTACTGGTGGGAACATGAAAACACTGCCACCTTGGGAGACAACCTGGCAGCTTTTTAATGAAACTAACACACACCGGTCCACCAATCTCACTCCTCAATCCTGATCAGGAGACTACCCATGTCTACACAAAAGCCTGCACACAAATGTGTACAGCAGCTTTATCCTCAGTGGCCCCCAAACTGAAGCAACCAAGGTGCTTCAACAAATGCAGTGGCATTTTATTTACTGATAAAAAGAAATATCAACCCACAGACATGGAGGAATCCTAAGTGCACAGTGATTAGCAAAAAGAGTCAGTCTGAAAAGACTACATGCCGTATCATGACTCCAACTACATGACATTTCAGAGATGGCAGAGCTATGGAGGCAATAAAAAGATCAGTGGTTTCTAAGGCCTCAGGGGAAGAGAGGAATAGATAAAACATGGAAATTCCGGACCAGTGAAACTACCACTATGGTACTGTAATGGCACGTACATGGTAACAGGCATTTCTCAAAACACACAGAACTAGTGCAATAGAGAGAGACAGACTTATCAAAAATTAGACAATTTATCAATAAGAGTTCATTAGCTGTACTAAATTAATGCAAAATATTGACAACAGGGAACTTTGAAATGGGATACGAGAAGCATAAGAGCTCTGTACTATCTGCCCAATTTTTCAGTAAATCTAAAACTGTTCTAAATATAAAGTCTTTTAATTATTAAAAAAAAACAGCTTAGAGAACAATTACTTTCCTTCAATAATTCACCAAGTTTGTTATCCAATACTGCCAGAACTTTGTCAAGATGCCACACACTTACTTTGATTGCAGGGCTTATTGTTCATACACATCAGTGTTCTCAAATAGGGAAAACTATGCCCCTCAAGGGACATTTAGTAATGCTTAGGGATGTGCTTTCCATAACTAAGACGAAGGGAGATGTTCCTGGCACCTCCTAGCCTGCAATAATCCTAAATATCGTAGTACGATGCACAGAACCGTCGCCTAAGACAAAGAACGCCCCAAAATGTCAATAGCGCTGAGGCTGAGAAACTGATAATGCATGTACCAAGACTCCTGGCAGTGTCCAGCGTGGCATACTTATGCAAAGTAAGTATCTGCTGACAAATGGATACAAGAATGATCCCCCCGCCACACACACTCTCAGAAAGAAAGGAAAGAGAGGGAAGGAAAAGAAACAAAACAGAAAGTAAAAAACAGGGCCACTAAGCACACAGATAATGAGAAACTATGGAGACTCGTATATAAGCAAATAATTAAAATATTATGTGATAGTAAGTTAATAGAAGCTTATGTGAACTATCTCATCTCTTCCTCCATAAATACAAGACCATATCCCATAGCCATAAGACCACACATACGCTTTAACTTTTTTTTCTCCTTAAAGGAACAGGTTTCTGCATAAAAGGTAGGGATATGCATAATAAGCATGATAAATTAAAAACTGTACATAGTGTCATGTCAGTTTTAGTCATTTTGCAACCAAATAAGTTCACAAAAAATTATTCAGTACTATAATTTCTACTGTAATTTCCTCACTATTGTAATAAAATAACGTTAGGCAATTTATAAAGTCAAGACATTAATTTGCTCAGTTTGAGAGATTCAGGGGCATGACAGTGTCATCAGCTAGTTCTGGTACAGATCTCAGGGTGAATGGGGGAACATGTGAGAGCAGGAGATCAGATTTCTTTGTTGTTTTGTTCTGTTTTGTTTTGTTTTTTTTTGAGACAGGGCTCACTATGTAGTTCAGACTGGCCTTGAACCCACCTACTATGTAGCTGAGGCAGGTCTCAAACTTGTGGTGATCTTCCTGCCTCAGCCTCCTGCCTTAGCCTTAGTGCTGGGGTTACAGGCATGTTCCACCAAGCCTGGCTGAGATCAGATTTTGAGACAGGATGCTGGGAGCAACTCAGAGGTCAGGCTCACACTTGGAAACAGCTCACTCTCTTGAGACCACAGAACTACCTTACTTCTCCCAAAGTCGTGCCCCCGATGGGCTAAGAACCTGTCATTAGATCCCACCTCTTGAAGGTCCTACCATCTCTCACTGCCACATTAAAGATCAAACTTCCCACACGTGAACCTTTGAGGGACAAATCACATTTAACTGTAACAACAGACAGGCTATTAGAGAAATCGTATTTTATACACAGAATATGTACTCCCCTAGTCTCATCCCCCCAGCCCCAACAACAAAAACTGATTTTAACTTGGAAAAAAAAAAAAAAAGTATCACTTTGTCCATCATCTTAAACAGACAAGGACTATCCATTCCTTAAAAAGATACCTGAATTCATCCTCCTAGTAAGGCGTGGGCAATCGTACAAAAAGACACCAGTTAAGTGGTTGCTACTAACAGAGTAGGTTCCGGAAGCCTTTGTAGACCAGTCAATAGAATGATGACCACTGGATTGTTTGGTCGGATGACTCCAGCGATAGTCAAAGGAGGTGAAAAGGCAGGGGAAGTACCATTTGAAACAATTAACATATAAAAAGTTAGCACTACCCTTTTGAAACATTATACAAACTACATACATCAAAATGAACAAGAGCACAGTACAAAGTACACAGCCACCCACAAAGCTGGCTGTCAGTTATATACCTCTTCTACTCCCTAGCTGTGTGACAGCTGTGTTTCAGTTCCCTCATCAGAGAAAAGCTAAAAACGCTGGTACCTATTGCAAAGAGTCACTGTAAGAATTAAATCCATTCATGGACATACATACAGTGTTTGGAACATGCGCAACAAAAGCATTAGTTATTAACAGCATTCTTCAGATTGTCATAGGTTCCCTTATATTATGAATGCTGTGGGAATTCTGCATGATGGAATTTTCGTTTCTGGTTTCTCGTATGTGTACTTTACTTCTACTTTGAAATTTCAGGCAAGGATAACCAAGGAAGGAATATATGAAGTAAATTTATTCCCACAGGAAAGCCTCTATAAAGTGACAACTACAGAGTACAACTAAAAGACTTTTCAGAGGAGAGCCTCAGTTAATTCCTTCTTCTTTTTACATCAACATCCAAATATAATGAAACACTAAAACTACTCTGTTAGTAGCAACACACAGTCAATACATACTTTTAACAATCTACTCAAACACCTACATATTTGGGAGTAAGAGCGAAAAATCCTTAAATTAAGTGGAGGAAGATGAGAAGAAAAACAGAAAGGCGGTAAAAGACTGTTGGAAATGAGCATTCAATATTTGCATCTTATCCTTCTCATGAATTAGAAGGGGACTTAAGAATGGAATGGGCTCAATCATTCTGAGTCCAAAAATAATCCCATATAACAAAATAACTCATTCATTTGGTCATATGAGCGTGAGCAAGTTCTGATTTTTTTATTGTTTTATATTTACAACTTCTTTGAAGAGTTCATAAAGAAGTCACACTATTTAAAATGAAAATTTTAAAATGGATGGATAATTAGATTTTTTTTCTCCATTTTATTTTTTAGCATGAATTACTATTTGATAACTTGAAAATCTCCTGGGCAAAGAAGCAATGGATTCACGTCTCACTGTGAAGAACTCCTACTCTGGTAAACATTTTTGGTTATCTGCACAATAATGTTTAATTGACTTGTACTATGATGTTTTCTATCATTCTATACTGGAGAAAAAGCAATATAAAGCAGAGTTATATGAAACTCCATTGTAGTTTCTCTCTTGGAATTATGGAAGATATTATGTTGTTCATATTATGGTGTATTTTCAGATAAGTCCAAACACGATTATAAAAAATCATCCTTAGGCATTCCTTCTATTAGAGTGTAATTCTTACTCTTCAGAAATAAAACTTTCTGATAGCTATATCAAATCAACATTCATTTTTCTCCCAAGTTAGATACTAAGGCAATAAAAAGAATATTGTATACCAAGAGACAGAATCATTCATTACTAACTCTAATGAGCCAATGAATTCACTAAGTTTCTTTCAGAAACCCATTTCATTTCATGGATTAAACAGTATTTTGAGGCATAAAATCAAAGAATTTAGCTATCATATAAACACTTGCTTAGGGAAATGCACTGTGATCAGGAAACCATTATATTTTTGGAATATCTTCCTAAGTATGTAATCTAGGAAATTTCAAATTTAGAAAAAATTTAGCAGTTGTAATTTTAAAATACTTATCACAGAATGGAAGACTGCACAAAAAAGGAGTACAGGCACAGAAAGAAAATTTAATTTAGTTAAATGTTTCATTTGTAGCCATGCTTACCAGTGTCACTGGTAGGCTCAGATGAGAGGGATTTTGGAGCTGGTGTATTTTTGGGTCTGGCAGCAACCTGAGACGGAGATGAAGGTGCACTGTCTCCATTAACTATATACAAGTGGCATGCGTTTTGGACTACAGTGTTTGTAGGTACATGATTATCTATTCCATTAGTACTTTCGACAGCCAACCTTTAAAAAGAAAAAAGTATCTTACTTCAACGATTTAAGTACAATTAAACAACTTTTCATCTACATCTTTATAAATATTTACTAATTTCTTACTATTCAAGTAAAGAGATAGGTATAAAGATATGCCTCCTTCTATTACATTAACATTCAAACTACTCTCAGTTCTAAGTGTACCTATAATGGCAGAAAACAAAACAAAACCCTGATATATAAGTATATTGAGTCCTTATCAATTCAGTCCCTCAAAGTAATACTCAAATTGTACAATTTAAGTCTGAGAGTATTAACCTATTCTAAATACTCTAAAAGCAACTGTAAAAAAACTCATAAAATTCTATTAAACTTTCAAAAACCAATTCTAAACATAACTTTATTTAGTGCTGCAAAAAGCTGGTAATACTGACTGCAAATTATGTACTAGTCGTGACAGTCATAAGTACATGAGGATCAGAGAAAGCTGTTATAGTCCCAAATGATAATTTATGATCTATAAATTAAGTGCAAGTAAATAAGAACTATACAATGAGATACTTTAAGTCCTCCTGGCAGTGAAAAGATGTTGGACAATATCATGGAAGTGACCAGGAAAGCTCTTCCAAATACAGAGGCACTCTGTATCTAGAGAGCACCCTAAGTATTTTTTTTTTAAAATATAAATCATATCATGTCCCTTTCCTGCCTAAAATCCACTATACTTGGGCGGAAAAAAACCCTTATATTTCCAACCAAAGCCTGGAAAACTTTGGAAAATTCAACCCCATTCCCATCCTACATCTCTGAGATCTGTTTCTTTTCCAACTCCTTCTTGCTAATCTCACGATATAAAAACACACATATATTTCACACACTAATGCATTTCACTCAGCCTAACTGTTGTGTCCTTTCAGTCATGCATTTTCTCAATGTAAATTATAGTATGGACATGAAATAAATTTAAAGGCAAGTATACATTCTGAAACTATAGTTACCTTTCCAAATGCTTTGAAGAGAATTATTTAATAGCAATTTAACAGTGGTGGTATTAATAACTCTGTGGAGTAATAAAGGTCACATACCTTATACTTTTTCAAATACGCCAGATCAATTTTATAGCAATATGTTTTTATATTTTCAGGTTTTAATTTTACCATATTTGAAACATTAGAGCCTTTATTAACTGTCATGAAACGTGAATGTCAAGGAGTTTACAAAATGGCAGACAATTTTAGTGTAAAACCACAATCTGTGGAAAATTTACTTCCTCATAATCAACACGAGAATGCCACTCTAGACAAGAGTAAGATTATTCTATAGTATCTGACTCTGCTTATTGATTACGCCTAAGTACAGATTTTTTAAAAGGACATTCAACAAAGAATGAAGCATTCATACATGCTATATGTAAGTAAAGCCTGAAACATTACGCTAGGTGAAAGAGACAGTTGTAAAGTTCACACACTGTGTGAGTCTGTTTATAGGAAATATCCAGAAAAGACAAATATACAGAAATACAAAGTAAATTACAAATGCCAGAGGTTGAGAGAAGAAAAGAATTGGGGGGAATGCTGCTGGACAGAGCTTCTTTCGGAGAGTGATAAGAATGTTCTCAAAGCAGAAACTAGTGACAACATATGAATACACTAAAATCTAATGAAATGAACACTTTAAACAAATGACTTTTATGGTATAATTTTAAAAAACCATTATTTTAAGACTAGTTTCATAACAATTCAACAAATAACATGATTTACACAAAAACTTTTTAATTCTGTGGCAAATGCTACATTACAGTTAATCTCTGAAACCTCAGACATGGGAAATGCTACATGATGTTACCACAAATACAAAAATAAAATATTCTACCTGCTAGTGGTCCTTGCTGAAGGCTCTCCATTTTCATGTAAGGCATCACCATTTTGCTGTACTTCTACTGAACAACAAGAAAGAAAGAAACTACATTTTTATACACTTCTTGCTGACTTTTCCTTTAAATCTTAAAAACACATAAACTTAGCTTACTGGTTGGAGATGAGGTGCAGTTTGGTAGATTTTCTTGCTCAATAACCAATCCATCAAGCACAACTGTCAATTCACCAGTTTGCACTACGCCATTCTTGTTTTCCAAGGAAAGTTTTAATTGTTCTTTTACTTTTTCCACTAGAAAAGGGAATATCCTAATTTAACAGCTTTTGCCACATAGAATATACTTTAGAAATCAAAACTACATGTCAAGAGTTACTCTAGTTCAGCATCTGACAGCTACATGTGGAAGAGATTCTTTGAATTTTTAACAGTAGGCCCTTCTATATTACACCAAGGTTGATCCCTTCACTACTTAAGCAACCCTTTCTTCCCACCCTATGCTCCCAATATCTTTGCTTCTTTGCACAGTAAACTTCAGAGAATATATATCTAAAGAATAACTGCAACAATTAACTAAACATGTTCTTCAGCCCGAAGACCCACAGAGGATCCTTGTGGTTGAAGCACAATTTCTGCACGAGAGCCAGGCATTTACAAATTTCAGCTCTGCTACTCACTAACTGTACTTGAGTAAGTTATTTAAAATTTCTTTAAGCCTCAGTTGTTTCATTACAATGTAGACCAAGTGCTTCAAACTAAAGGGACAGTGCTAAGGATCTAATGAAAATCATGCAGACGGCCCTAGCACCACATATGACACATATATGCTAAGTAGTGTGACAAGAGTTTGTTATTTCTTTGTTATTATATAAAGCTAAATATTTCCCCATTACTAGGAAATTTAGTTTCTATTCAAAGTCATTTTGCTTCAACTTCTATCCCACAGAATTCATATTAACAGGGAGTGAGGAGAATGTGAAGATGCCAGCTGAAAGAATCAAAGACTCAATTACACGGGGAAACTAAGTTTTCCCTCGGAAACATATTGTACTGCATGGTCGATACAGTAAACAATAATATACCGTACATTTTAAAATCACTGAGGATATAAATTTCCAATGTTCTCACCATAAAAAATTTTGATACATTAATTTACTTGATTCATTTATTCCATACATTATAAAGTGTATCACTTTATAAACATACACAACTATAATTTATCAATTTACAATTTTATGTAATTTAAAAACTTCTCAGTGATCACTTTATTATTCAAAATGGGGGCAATTAATTCAACCTGATCTTCACTGGCTCTCTGTAGCTTTTGAAATCATGGGATATTTCACATGAAGTTCCTAACTGTGATGCTTCCTGTATGTGACAACTTAACCTCCTTCCCCCAGTTTAACAAATATCCAGCATAAACATGCTGACTGACTATCCAAGTACAGAAAAAGACAAGACAAAAATCTGGACAGGAACTGTCTGAGAAAAACTAAAGAATCATACAATAAAAGAAGCGCTTACAGAACTCCCACTCCATACTCCAACTATTTGTGGCATCGTAAACCTCATTTCCATCCCATGTGAAGAACAATAAATAAGTAAACTAAAATGTGTGTGCGCGCACACACACACACATAAAACCAAACTACAGGAGAATGAATTTCACTGTTCTCCAATAATCTGCATCTGAGAAACTATACTAATATTTTATTTCATTTGTGCCTTTTTTCTCCATTTAAAGTGTCTGGAACTTAGAGATTTGGGTTTCTTTCCTAAAATATTTAGCTACTTGAATAGACTTCTAAAGCATGTCCTTTTAAAGTCTCTCAGAGTGGATCTAACAGCAAATTCTCACTTCTACTTACCTATAATTGTGTACCTTCTCGTCTTCAAAAAACAGATTTGACAAACATGCAATTTCATATTGACAGTGATCTTCTCCCAACTCTTTGAAGATATTTTTGTACTATCTTCTCCTATCACTGCTAATTCTGAATTTTTAAATTTATAATCTTTGCAAATACCTGTTTTTCTTCAGTGATGCCTTAAAATGTTTGTCTTTGGTATTATGTATTTCACTAATGATACGTCATAATTTCCTCTTTGCTACCTTGTTTTGGGTAATATGGCTCTACTGAGTCATGCTTTTCATTAGTGTTCAGAAACTTATAGCTATTATCTCTCCTTTTTTTTTTTCCTCAGGTATTAATTTATTCAATAGCAAATAGTACTTAAGCGTACATTTTGGAATTTTTCAGCTCATACCTGACTTGGTATACCAGCCTACATAGTGAGTTCAAGGCCAGCCTGAACTATATAGTGCGATTGGTAAGACTGTGTCTAAAAAAAAACCCAACCAAATAAATAATCACTTCAATTTCCTAAAATAACTTCCCCACTACGATCAAACCATGTCTGTACCCTAGGAAATCATGGCCTCCATATAAATACCTTCTGGCTCCAGTCCCCTTGTCTATATTGTAATCAGCCTTTGAAGACTATATTGTCTGTCATTCACGCTACAAACTCTTAACTGTCTTGTCAAACACCATATAGTAGCTTTTCAGGCTTACTAGATCCAGGGTTTTCTCCTTAAGAGGCTGATGTTTTTTCCTTCTTTTATTGTCACAAGACCTACATAGTCATTCTTTCTCTTCTCTCTCACTTCATCTCTTACAAAGCTAGTCTCTGTAAATAGGTGAGGAACATGTACTTACTCCAGAACATCCCTCCACTGGAACCTTCTATGCAAATATATAAATTCTGTTAATTCAAAGTACTGACTGTCAAATATATGGATATAGCGTATCTCAAAAATGCAATATTGTTTTTATCAATAATCTTTCCCCTCTATACCTTTCTGGCTTAAGGGGAGGATGGGACATGTTTGTGGTAACTTTACTCAGTCTTCAGTTATCTATTTTAGCATTAGCAGTTTTTGGAAAGTAACAAGCACCCCAAATTTACACCTCATTCAACTGAAGCCTAAAACCCAAGTTCAAGTACAAAGCCAATAAGTTAAATCAAAGGCCATCTAGAATTTTTATCATCATTCATCAATGTATTTTTAAACTGCCTCTAAGTTACCTAAAAAGCACAGTAATTTTATATTAATTCTAAAGAAAAGTCATAGGTAAGAATCAGAAAAGCTGTGTTCTAGTCACAATCCTGCAATTGTGTACTCTTGAGCAAGTTGCTTAGATGGTAAGCTATTTCATCAGTAAAGTAGGTGACTGGGACTAATATATAGGTTTCTTTTACTTTTAAGCACTATGATTTAATCACCAGGTTTAATTCTTAAAAACAATTTACTGCTATTGTGGGCTACCATTTAATAGCATCTCACTCCAAATTCACATGTTGAAGTCTTAACCCCCAATTCTTCAAAATGTCACTACGTAGAGATAGGCTCTTTAAAGAAGTAACTAAGTTAAAATAATGTCCTTAGGGTAGGCCCTAATAAGAACGACCTGAGTCCACACAAAAAGAGGACACTCACTCACAGACTCATATACAGAGGAAGGACCACATGAGAACAAAGGGAAAAGATGGCTCCTGACAAGGTAAGAGGAAGAAATTAATCTCACCAACACTGGGAGCACAGAGTTCTAGCTTCCAGAAGAGAAAATAACCTCCAGCTGTTTAAGGTTGCCAGCCCATGGTACTTTATCATGGCAGCTCCAGCAAACTGATGTACCCTTCAGTTATTAAAAACATTCACTGACAACTTAGTGTTTGTAAGATGCTGGTACTGTAATTTCTGAAGACCTCCTCACTGTATAAATGTTTACGAAATATTATTTTTCTTCTGAGCATACTGTGCTCAATTAATCTTAAGAGATAACTGTAAGTTTACTATATTAATCAGGATTTCATTTCCAAGTATACTGACTTTTACCACATTCTTAGATGATCATGGCAAAATCTTTATTTGGAGGACAACTGTAACCTTAATAACACCAAAGTTCAGTACAGTCTAATATAATAGAATTAAAAACAATCTAAACCATCAACAATAGGGACATGGTTAAATAACAACCCTGGCAGGGTACTGTATCCTTATAAAATGTTTTATTTCTGTATTAGGGCAAACTGCAGGTCCTGAAAAATAATCATGCCACAGCAGAGAAACTTACAATGGTTCAAGAGAACATGTTTTAAAAATCTGAACTTACATAAGACTGAGTATGGTTCACCAATTCGTATAAACCATAATAATTAACATATTTATGCCCAAATTTTGCATCAAAAACAGATTTTAGGTTACATATGGATTTTCAGAAAGATATTTTAAAATACCAACTTATTTTAAGCACTAACATTTTTGGCACTTTACATAGAAAACCTATTTTTTGGAATTAATGGGAAAATATCTAAGTAAACAAGATGAACACAAAGATTTAGATTTGGATAAGGGCATTACTTTTAATAAACTATTACAAACTGCATGATGTCAGATAATACAAAATTAGATAATGGTGTGAAGAAACATGCAGTTCTTAAGACTCATACACTAGAACTCTGCTTTTTAATCTTCAATGAATCACATATTTTGAGAATTTAATAAAAGCTCTGAATCCTGCCCTCAGAATTACAAACTCATGTATATATAGCCATTTTTTTGCATTTAGTAATAAGAGGTTTACAAATAAACTGTAGCCTAAAATACCTTAAGAATCCCTAGGCTAGAAAAATTTAGTATCATGGAAACATAATGTTTATAGTAATTATTAACTTTTTTTTTTTTTTT